GGAGCTAAAACAGAACTGAACCAGGACTGAACCAGGACTAAACTAGGTCTAAACCAGCACTAAACTAGGTCTAAACCAGAACTGAACCAGAGCTGAGCCAAGACTAAACTGGAGCTAAACCGGAACTGAACTAGGACTGAACCAGGACTAAACTAGGTCTAAACTAGGTCTAAACCAGGACTGAATCGAGGACTAAACCAGGACTGAATCGAGGACTAAACCAGGACTAAACCAGGACTGAACCAAGGACTAAATCAGGACTGAACCAAGGACTAAATCAGGACTAAATCAGGACTAAACCAGGACTAAACCAGAGCTGAACCAGGACTGAACCAGGACTGAACCAGGACTGAGACCGGGACCAGATTGGGACTGAGACTGGGAACAGGACCAGGACTAGACCGGGACTGAGATCAGAACTGAGACTGGGACTGAGACTTGGACCGAGACCGGGACCGAAACTGAGACCGGGACTGAAACTGAGACCGGGATCGGGACCGAAACTGGGACCAGACCAGGAGTAAGACCAGGACTGAGACCAGAACCAAACCAAGACCAGACCAAGACCAAACCGTGATTGAGACCGGGACTGAGACTGGGTCCAGACCAGTTTAGTCCTGGTTCAGTCCTGGTTCAGTCCGGCATCACAGGGAAACGACCATTATCCATTTTTTCCATTTTTCATTTTAAGCACAAAATTAAAAACTGAAAAAAACAAATCATTATCTGTTTTGTTTTTTTTTTCATTTTGGTTTTGGAGACAAATAATGAAGAAAATAGTTGTTTTTTGATTCTCATCTCATGTTTCCAAGCGTCTTCCCGGTTTTGACGTAAGCGTAAACACAACAGATTCACAGTCTTTATATTGGGTGTTGGGATTTAGGATTAAGAACAGGACTAATCAGATTACCAATTAAGTAAAGTAGAACCATGAGTAATTACTAGAGTTGTTCCGTTACTGATACTGGTATCGGCAAAAGCTCCGATGGCGCATATTTTCAGGTATCGGCGAGTACTCAGACCAAATCACCGATCCGATACCATTCTGTATTTTCCACAATGAACTATAATAAACTTTTCAAACTCTACAGACTCTTAAAACATGTTAATAATGACAGAAAAGATATTCGTGTTACCTCTTTGACACCTTCATTTAGCTTTTAGTGTGGACGCTGAACTTAGTAGTAAAACTGCGCTACGGAGAGCACAGCCCGACAACAACTTGAACTTTATTTACTCTGCAGAATTATCCACGTTCTCCGAGGTCTTTTTCCAGGCCTCGCTGCTCTTTTAATCTATGCACTGTGGTAGAAAGTGACGAATTAGAAAAGTACAAGCTCTTAAATCAGCACTACTTATGGTCAGGATCATTATATATTTTACTCTTAACGCTTATTTATCAAAATCTAATTTACTCTTCTGGATTTTCTTTAGAGATAGCCTTTTAGTAGATTTATTGATTGCTCTTGTACTGTAACAAAATCGAGTGGCTGTAGTTTACTTCTTCACACTATGTGGTATCGGACTTGGTTTCAGTATTGGCGGGTACACTAAGGCCAAGTATCAGTATCGTATCGGAACAAAAGTAGTAATTAACAAGAAATTACCCTAAATACACTTTTATACCTTAATTAGTCTTAGTAAAGCGTGAACAATAGTTACTCAGCCAGAATCATTCTTAAAGAAGAGGATAGAAAACACTTTACATCACTTTAGCTCACCATGTTACCTTTTATTATTTTGAAAATTCTATATTTGCAATTTAAAAAAAAAAAGATTAACCTGTTTTATGAGTTTCATTTTCCGTTTGTTCTCTGTGGTAGTGCTCTGAAGGGGGAGTGACCTATGACGACACAATCAACATGCATCCTCCTAACGAAACTGCTGCCACAAGCTGAGCGTTTGGACAGAGTCATAAAGTGCAAGAGATCGCTAGATTGCTCAGACATGCATGGATGACATCTAACACATCTTCAGGCATGTTCTTGATGAGGGAACAACATTATTAGCCCGGCTGGCGCCACCTAGTGCCTCAACTCAATTTAATTTCTCTCTAGGTCAGGAACCGGAATACACTAGACCAGGCATGTCCAAACTATGGCCCAGGGGCCAAATGCAGCCCTCAGACAAGTTTTTCTTGGCCCTCAGACTTCCAGGTGAATTGGCCCAAATTACCTTGCAGTAAAAAAATATTTTTCAGTTGATGCAAGTTTTTTGAAAATCTACCTTGATAAAGCGAATATTTAATATTTAGTGTGTGGTTTTAAGGATCTTAGCATGAATAAAGACTCGATGGTTCATTCTAACGTGTTAAACATGCACAGATTTCAGTTATTCCCTGTACTGAGCACCAGTCTACAGCCCTCGATCAGCCCTCTGCTTCATCTGTGTTTAGATATGTGGCTCTTGATGAAAAAATTTGGACACCCCTGCACTAGACGGTCTGACAGAACTTGTAGACCGTGCACCGGCCAATCAGCAAAGAGCTGTGAAGCCATGACGTCAAACTCAAGCACCTCTCTGGCTGTAACTTGGTCTTGTTTGGTCTCCATGAAGACAGAAAGATTTTATACCATAGTGTGAAACATTCCAGACAAAGAATGTAACGATATCCAAATCTCTCGGTACGATATTTATTCCGATATTTTGAAGAGGCTGATATAATTGTAGATGGGACACTTTTTTGCTTTTGAAATACCTTGACAAGATTTTGGTGTGAATTATTTCCCTCATAATCCCAAGAATTCAAGTAAAAAACATATAACTTCATGTTGTCTGTGCTGAAATGAATCATGGGATATGTAGTTTTCGATGTTTTTATAAGGCATTTGACGGATCCTCCACCAGAAAAGTCACACAATGCGGCTTTAATCCTCACAAATGTATTAAATCTTGCGGTGTGGCCCCTTCTCCGTCTCCCCGTCTGATTACCGCCTCAGTGCAGTCCATGTGTGACGACGTGGAGCCGCTTCAGGCTCAGAGCAAAGGACCAGAGCTTTGTGTTGACATTAAGAATGTATTTTTCTCCGCGTGCTGCCCCCGGGCGACGCACAGAGCAGCTGTCAAACGCTGCCAGACAGGTCTCAGTCTTGTGGGTTAACAAATTAGCCCACAGTGTATCAGAGCTGCTATTGTTTCCAGTCGGAGCCAAACACTCACTGGCTGCTCGCGCCTCACAGTTCAGCTCTCATGTAGGATGTGTTGTCTGGGATTAGTCTATATTTTATTAGGTATATTGTTTTTGTTGTTGCTGGTTGGACAGCACAAGTTCTGTACAGAGGTGGTGCTGTGTGGATATGATAGAAGTTTGAACACAGACCTATAGTATTCTTTATTAAAAGCTGTTGCCGCCTACATTGTGTTTTGTCGATGCAATAAGAAGCTCCAAGGTTCATCGTAATCAAATCTTTTATTTTATTTACTTAGCTCCAGTATTGCGCAAATTGGATTCTTGTGAGCATCAAAAACATACCTGTTGTCTTTAAAAATGACCATTACATGACATCACAAGGTGGAACGGAGCATTTTGAGCTTTGGCGATGTACCGTATATTTTGGACTATAAGGTGCAATATCATTCTCTTGTCTATTTTCTTACATAAGGTGCACCGGATTATAAGGCGTAATAGCAATGATGTTGAATTCTCTTGTCTATTTTCATACATAAGTCGCACCGGATTATAAGGCGCATTAAGCAAAACAAACTGACGACATTTGAGACTGATCCTTAGTCCAGGCGTCCACGATCCATCGGCAGATCGTGATGTAATTCGCCCGGCGTTGCCTCTCTGCCTTGGTGAATGTGGATTATGAATGTGAATGTGCGTGAATAATTTGTTTATTTATTTCCTACGAGGATGTCTCAAATATACATTGAGTAATAATGTGTTTAATGCAGCTTTGCGCACATTTGTTTACTTTTTACAGAAACGAAACTTAAAACCACATGGCGAATTTGCATAAACTATAAGCGCTGAAAAAAAACAGCTCACTCGTTCTTATTCCACGAGGCTCATGACTACAGTCGCTGTAATGCTCCAACAATCCGTCAACCAGTGTGGCTTCGTAGCTTACTAAAGTCGTACTAAAACATTTTGACAGATTTTTGAGCGCCCTGTACCACATAAAATTGTTTTGAGGTCAGTAAACACAAACAAAATGTATACATCAAGTATTAATTCTGATTTTAATTCCAGATTATAAGGCGCACTGTCGATTTTTGAGAAAATTAAAGGATTTTAAGTGCGCCTTATAGTTACGGTACAAAAAATTACGTACGAAAAATACGTTAAACAGACTAATAATAACTTACTTTACATTATTCAAACATGTGAATGAAACAAAACACAACTTAAGGTCTGTTTTTAATGAAGTAACAGCACAATAACATGACTTAAAGCTCACAAGAGTTAATTTTGTGTTATACAGGACCTTTAAGTTTGAATATGTGAGGCTTTTAAGGTCATTGTAATTAAATCATGTATTGTATATATTTATTTATGTCAATATAGACCGTATAGCTTCTACCCACGTCGCACGTATTTTTTATTTATTTTTTGTTTCAGTGCAGTGTAAGGCAGAAATGTAAGCATTAAATTCTAATCAAAATCTTTATTTATTCATTTATTTAATCAGCGTTTTTTATAGATTTGGTTCTTATGTGAGTCATGTAAATACTTTTATGTTATTAGGTATTTTATTTCACAGTATGTGGAGTTTGAATGTCACGTATTTAACTAACTTTTGTTTTTCTGACTCAAAAACCACTATTAGACTGGATTGTTGTCTTTATCGAGGTTTAGAACTGACAAAAAGTTTACAATAATTTACAATATCTTTCTTAAATTTTCCTTTCCTAGTGGCTCGATCACACTCCAAACTTGACTAAGCCTTCCACATTTTTGGTTGTTTCACTTCTTGCGTGGGTACAGTTTTGTGTTCTAATTACAAATCTGTTCGTCATCGTCATTATTTTGTGTGGGTTTTTTTTTTTTTTTTTAGACTCTGAAAAGGACAACGGGGAGCCTGGCAACGGGATCGCCCAGTGGAGACTGAATGAGCAGCTCTTCCCATGTCCAGTCTGTGGGAAAGTGTTTGGACGACAGCAGACCCTCTCCAGACACCTCTCCTTACACACAGGTATGCTAAAACACTTCTGGTGTAGTTCCCGACACTGGGCATGTGATAAAACCGTGGATTCAGCTGCAGCGTCTTCAAAACCTGCCAAAGCTTTCAGTTTAGAACGTGACTTTAATCGCGTCTTCAATTTCACTTACAGGGACCTGGTCGTAACTGTTGATCTGCCAAACAAAACTGAACGCTACAGTGACATCTTTATTATTATTTTTTATTAAGTTAGACAGATTATTAGGGATGTAATGATATCTAAATCTCTCGATACAATATTCTCAAGATTATTGTGATATTGCCATGTTTACTCACACAAAATTGTGAGTATGCTACTTTTCTCTCATCATCCAAAAAAGTTTGATTTTAAAGATTTTAAAGTGCTTCATAACAGTTATTTCAGCATGTAGATTGGACTGAAACTGAGCAAAGGATCATGGTCTATGTAGTTCTCACAATTTTTTGGCTGTTGCTGTATTAAAACAATAATTTTTTTTTTTCAAGTGTATTGTGACTGCCCATGATATTATTGTGAGACTTTTGATGATATGATGTCACAATATTTTGATTATTGTTACGTGCCTACAAATTATAATACACAAGTTAACTGGCAGTTTATAAAAGGAAAAAAAAAGAAAGAATACAATGACATCTAGATGAAGAAAACCAGGCCATTTTCTCGTTTTTGCCAGAGTTACTTTTGCCAACAGAGCCCAAAGGAAATCGTCATCTGCATGTTTCCAAACGTCTTCCTCATTTGTGTCGTAAGCATGACTAGAGCCCATTGTTTCATTTCTCTCCAGCGACTAGGTCAGGAATTAGAATACACTAGACAGTTTGCAAGAACCCTGGAAGTTGTAGACCACGCACTGACCAATCGGCGAAGAGCTGAACCAACCCGAGTTGCGATAGCAGACTGCATACGCTGTCCTCCTTTAGGCTTCCTTTTTCAAATACAAATGTCGCATTTTTTATTGCATCCTTAATTCGCAAGTTCATCTTCGCAGAAATTACAATGATCGTTGAACAGACATGTTCACTCTCTGTTTTGTTTGCTGTTGTGCAATTACTTGGACACCACTGAGCGTTCCGGCTCCATTACATACGTCACGACCAAATTGCACCGATTGGTTAAATAAAAAAATTATAAAAATCTACCGACCGTGGAGCGAACGAATCCTAATGCTGTGAGGTTAGACGGTTTCCACGAAATGAACCCGGCTGATGAATGAGACTAAGTCGCCCCTATCCGCAGAAGGAATTATGGTATTTTTAAGCAATAGAAACACCAGTAATGAATAAATGCCAAATGGAACTGTTTAAAGTCATACCATGGAACATTTTAGGGAAAGCAAAGACAAGTAAGTAGCAAACCCTCCACCACCACAACCATGGTGAATTTTTATTTTTTTTTTTTAGCTTTCTACCATTGTTCCCTCATCGAAAATATGCCTGAAGAGGTTTTAGAGTCATCCATGCACGTTTGAGTAATTTAGCGATCTCTCCCGGGCCCTATTCAAACCCTATTTACAGTTAGTTGTCTTCGATCATTCGTTGCCAATGATCCCACACGACAATTCTCCACAAAATTGTACACAGCAACTCGACAAACCTGATTTGCGACGTGCAGCAGTTTCGTTAGATGCACTCCGATTGTGTTGTGATAGCGCTCTGAAGGGGGAGCGACATAGCACGGAGAGCAAAGGGAAGAGACGCTCAGATCGTCTTTACTCTTCAGGATTTCTTAAGTCGAGTTCACATCTTTCGCTATAGGCGTTACGCTGCCGTGTGATTGTTTACGTGTCCGAGCTGAGTACGGTAAGTAAATAATGTTGCCTAGACCAGATTACCTCTCCTTTAAAGAGATTACGGCCATGATTAGTCTCACTGGGAATTCAGAGCCATCTAATTACTGTGCTAGAAGGATGCCTCGCCGAGCATGTCCGCAACAAAACAAACTCCACATATACTCCGGTCAGGCTGGTGCAATTTTGGCCCACAACATCCAATAATGCCCGTGTGTAGTCTCCAGTGTGTTGATTACTCTGTTTTCAGGCTGCACTGTTCGCCGGCTGCGGCATATGGGGCCCTCCGTTCATCCCCCCGCCGTTATTAAAACAACAAATGAATATTCCGAGATATTCACAGGGATTAACTGTAGTCATGACATTTGGAAATGATTGCGTCGATCAGAGCCGTGGAATAAGCGGGAATTGTTCTTAAGTACGAGCACCTCCTGGCAAACAGTGGGATTCTAATGAACTATTAAGGCAAATAAAAGAGAACATTGTGTAAGAATAACCGGGAATAATAAAAATAAGAGTGGGAGACGTTATTATTTTAATTTATTTTGTTATGGCTATGTATCTGTACAGCCCAGACTGAAATGTGTAAATGTGTAGTAAACAGAATTTGCTTTGTAGTTAATTTTTTTAAGCAATAAACAAATTAAATAGGCAACACTTTCGTTTAGGGACCACGTATTAAAAGATAGTTAATAGTAAAATGCACAGTAACGACTTAAATACATCTTTGTTAGTGTTTATAAAGTACTTTCCATGCATTTTTCGTCAAAGGTTGTGAGGATTACAACTCGGAGTGTAACGATATCCAAATCTCACAGTACAATATTATCACGATATGCATCTCACGGTACGATATTTATTCCGATATTTTTAAGAGGCTGATATAATTGTAGATAGGACACTTTTTTTGCTTTTAAAATACCTTGAGAAGATTTTGGTGTGAATTATTTCCATCCTAATCCCAAGAATTCAAGTAAAAAACATAATTCTTCATGTTGTCTGCACTGAAATGAATCATGGGATATGTAGTTTTTCGATGTTTTTAAGATGTTGCTACTGTAAAACCGTAAATTTAAGCAAATGAACTTGTGAACTATTGTGAGACGATATGATATCACGATATTTCGGTTATTTTTACATCCCTAATTACAAGAGATGTTTCTGTATATACATATAAATCTTAATAAATATGAATATGTGTTTGATAAATACCAAAGAATACCTAAGTAACAGCTAATTAACTAACTAACTAGCAATTAATATGTGTTCCCATCAAGTATAGTGTTACCGTTAAATAAATACATGCATTTTTTTATTTTTTTTTTTTAGAATGAAAGAAAAAAAGACTAGAAAAGGCGAAGTTCCAAGGCTAGAAAATAACATTATTTTGTGTCTAGCATCGACATACTGGTTCTATTCTGTGTTAGAAACAAGTTATAAAACATTGTGTAAATGGTTTAATAGTGTAGAAGTCACTCACTACTCCATCTAGTGGTGATTTGCTGTAAAAGTTTTGCTTGTACCACATTTAAGTGTCCAGTTTGTAGTTAAAGGTTGTATAGAGGATTTTTTAAGGGAAGAGAAATACAGCGACAGTCCTTGTGCGCGTTCAGAATTACTGTTGAAGTGACCTGTTTAGAAGTAATTCAGCGACCGACGCGTCAGTTTTTAGACCCTTCGTCTGCTTCGGTCGCGCCATCGCTGGACGAGATCTCCCAAGAATCACCTCAGTTTGGCTTTGCTCCTTTTCCCCTTCTCTTCTTCTCTCAGCGACCTCAAAAAACGGACTTTCTTTTGGGGCGAACCGGTCGTGGATTCTCGTCCGCCGGCGCGACAAACTTTGTGCGAAATGCGAGGAAGCGACAGTTCGAAAAAGCCTCTAAGAACCGCTGCGTAAACCACGTAATCCCCGCGCTCCGACGAGTCAGTTACACTAGGGAGTTTGATTGACAACCCAACAGCCAATAGAAAATGAGGGAGTCTCGTTTTCTATTGGCTGATGTTTATCTGGCCTCACTACGTCCACAGTTGATAGATTTTCGTTCTTTTTTTTTTGGGGTCATCATAATTACAAAGCTGCTGCATCTCTGTAATGGTATTTTAATCTTTCACTGACAGTTTGAAACAAAAAAAAATCCTCCATACAACCTTTAAAGGTCCCCAAAAGAGGTCCAAAATTGACTCTTTAGTCATGTTTGAAAGTTATTATCTCATCCAAAACATACCCGGAGTTGTGTTTTATTTCATTTATGTCTGATTAATCCTGCATTATTAGTCTGTCTACATCTCCAAAGCTCAAAATGCTCTGTTCCACCTTGTGATGTCGTGAAGTTTTCAAGTTAACAGTTACTTTTACTTTTTGTTTAGTAGAGATTGGCAACTCCAGCGCTGAAATTATCCAAATGATTCTAGTGAAGTGATGCACGGAGTTTAAAAACACAGTGCAGTTCGAGTTCTGCGCCGGTCCTTTCTCTCGCGGTCACTGTCTACGCGGGCGCACCTCCGCCGTTTCACCGCTGCTGATATCACGGTGATTTAAGCGAAATTGCGTGACGAAAAACGAAAAACCCACCTCTTCAATCCAGGTCAGAAAAGACAGGTTAAAGACATTTGTACCGAGTAAAATATTACCACTTTTTTCCCTGTGATGCCTTACTCGATTTTGCGTCATATAGGACCTTTAAAATCTGTGTAACTAAAAAAAAAAATCGTTTTTCACTCACAACTCCATCTTGTGGTAGAAACATGTATAACCGCCTACTACTTACCTATTCCAACATCTGCTTACACTTCGTAATTACAGCGTACACTTCATAATAATTACCCACACGCAGAAATCCATTTGAAATTCCAGACCATTTTAAAAAATACAGCAAATTAAGACCGGATTAGACATTAATGCAAAATGCCCTGGACAGCCGACTAAATCACTGGGCACACAAATGGAGCCTCGTGTACAAAATGCCCCCACACGTTTGAACATGCTCGCACAGCGAACACACACACACGCGCGCACACACACACACCATCTGAGCGCGCTGGCCGTGAACAGCTTGGCCACACCACAGAGAGCAGAAGCAGGGGCATATGTCAGTGTGATGGTCTTTTTGGTTTCCCCGGCGACATAAAGGTTGCCTGGCTTCATGTCCTTTGGGCAAATTGGGGCGCGTGTTTGTGTGTCCGAGGGGGGGCCGGATCTGGGGCATCATTAGTTGTTGTGTGGTTAATTTGGGAAGAAGCAACGGGGAGATGTAAAGATATGTCTTTGGGTTTGAAGGAATGGGGATTAGTGTCTGTTTTGATACGAAGATATTCACTCAATTCTCTATGCTGAATACTAAAATGAAGATAAAATAGCTGCTTTTTTATGAACAGAATGTAATAATAGTACTTTCTTTGTCTTGGCATGGCGTCTAATATTCGCTCTTATCATCTCAAAATGACTGATACATCTTGATTCATCCGTCTAGTAAATATTTAATTGAAACAGACAGCAGACTTAAATATTGTATAGATATAAAATACAAAAATTACAGTCTGTCATACCTACAGTACTCGCCATAACCTTAAAGAAGATATATGTGACAGCTTGTATCTATGCTATGTAGTTATAATCTGTGATACTCAGGGATTATTATGTTAGAATTTTCAC